TATTAGTATAACTTACATAAATACCATACTGTAAAACCTATATTACCTTCTATCCCTATTATTTTTGTAATTACATAAATCTCATATTTTTTAGGTATTTCGGATACATAATTAAGGATCCGGATACATGATTATTGATACATTATGTACCAATATGTTGCACTTATTAAGGGGAAAAAAAACTGGAAAATCAAATTAAGATCTCATGACTCATAGTATCCATTTGTTGCACTAATTAAGGTGGGGAAAAAGCTGAAAATCAAATTAAGATCCCATAAATTACGTTATTTCATTCCAAATTATTGTCAATAATTCAAAATCCTATAGTGTAACAAATCAAAAAACTCAAAAATTAAATTTCTTCTTCTTGTTCATTGTTCTCTCTGTTTCATAATTTTTTTTGTCGAAATTTTGGAAGCGAGGTGAGTTATGAAGGATACAACAGTGATGGAATTGTTGTTGGACGAACGATTTCTTTTGTGAATCTTCAAGTTCATCGAATATCCTTTTCATTTTGATTCAAAATTGTTCTCCAGTTCATTGAAGATCCTTTCTGTGTTGATTCAAAATTGTTGAAAATTTTGAGTTTCAAAATTATTCTCCTAGTTCATTGAAGATTATTTCAATTTTGATTCAAAATTATCGAAAATTTTGAGAAGATACATCATGAAGATCCTTTCAATTTAAATTGATAAGTGTTGTATTTTACTAGATACATTAAATAAGAAAGCGTTGCCCATAAGATTTTAGGTTTGAGATCGATACATTAATATTTGGTAATTGTTATGTATCAGATACATTTATACATTCAAATTTACGTATCATAACTAAAAAATTAGTGCATGATACATTATTATTTATGTATCTTATTTTGTTTTAGATCATGAAGATCCTTTCAATTTAAATTGATAAGTGTTGTATTTTTACTAGATACATTAAATAAGAAAGTGTTGCCCATAAGATTTTAAGTTTGAGATCGATACATTATTGTTTGGTTATTGTTATGTATCAGATACATTTAGTATAATTTGAATTAACGTATCATAACTAAAATATTAGTGTATGATACATTATTATTTATGTATCTTATTTTGTTTGAGAAATACTATATTTTAAAATTAAAAAAAATACATTATACATGTAATTGTTCCAAAATAGCTTCTTCTTTTTTGTGTGTGATAAATAACACAAAGTTTATGTATCAAGTACATTTATATTGAACATGATAAACACTAATCAAAGATTCAACAACATTAGAGTTATGTATCAATACCTTAAATATGAACATTATACATTACATAAAACAAATGTTATTGTAGCAGTGATATATCAGATCAATGATAACACTAACAAAGACTAATTTAAAACTCAAAATAAACGAGATACATTAAAAATTTGTATCTTTGATAGTGATGGCCGTGCAATGGCAGATCCAACTTTTTTCTTCTTTTTTTGGACGTTTTTCAATAGTAGAAACATTAAAAGAAAATAAATATTTTTGAGGAAAAATTTTCAACGACCATATGATTAACTAAAATTGCAAAGGTTCAATAAGATTTCAATGAGGGCAGGGGGCGAATGTAATTTTATTTTTATTTTTTAAGATGAAAAAATTAAAAAATTATAATAAAAGAAATCGAAAATTGAAGTGATGGAAAGAAATCTACCTCTTGAATAATTTGAAATCATTAATTGGAAATAGAAAAGATTTGAAATTCAAAAATAGATTAATTGATAAACTTGAGAGAGACACCTTCTGAAAATCAAAATGAATTTGAAATTTGTAACTTCTAAAGAAGTGGAGAGAATTAAGGAATAAAATGGAGGAGTGAAATGGGGAGTGAGAAACGTGGGTATAGGCTGAAAATAAGAGTGAAATATTTATGTATCCGGAAGATTTTATGAATTGGGGGAATAAGGGATTTTTGAAATTTTAAAAAAAGGTAAGGATAAATGGATATTAAGGTAAGTAAATGTGTGTATATAAGTAATTTTCCCATTATATTATAAGGTTATTTTTTGTATAACTTACATAAATTTCATAGTGTAAAACCTTAATTACCTTTTATCCCTATTACTTTTCTAATTACACAAATCTCATATTTTTTAGACATTTCAGATACATAATTATGGATCCGGATACATTATTGTTGATACATTATGTATCAATCTGTTGCATTTATTAAGAAAAAAAAGCTGAAAATCAAATTAAGATCTCATAGTATCCATCTGTTGCACTAATTAAGGGGGGAAAAACTGAAAATTAAATTTAAGATCTCATAAATTGCACTATTCCATTCCACATTATTGTCAAGAATTCAATCATATAGTGTAACTAACCAAAAAATTCAAAAAATAATTTTCTTCTCCTTGTTCATCGTTCTCTCTGTTTCATAAAAAAATTTGTCGAAATTTTGGATAAGCGAGGTGAGTTATGAAGGATACAAAAGTAATGGAATTGTTGCTGGATAAACGATTTCTTTTGTGAATCTTCAAGTTTATCGAATATCCTTTCGATTTTGATTCAATTTTGTCAAAAAAATTGAGATTCAAAATTCTTCTCCCAGTTCATTGAAGATCCTTTCAATTTTGATTCAAAATTGTTGAAAATTTTGGTTTCAAAATTATTCTCTTAGTTCATTGAAGATCCTTTCAATTTTGATTCAGAATTATCAATTTTTTTGAAAAGATACATCATGAAGATCTTTTCAATTTAAATTAATAAGTGTTGTATATCTACTAGATACATTAAATAAGATTTTAGGTTTGAGATCGATACATATTGTTTGGTAATTGTTATGTATCATACACATTTAGTATAAATTCGAATTTACGTATTATAACTAAAAATTAGTACATGATATAATATTATTTATCTATCTTATTTTGTTTGAGAAATACTATAACTTAAAATTTAAAAATACATGTAATTGTTCCAAATTATCTTCTTTTTCTGTTGTGTGATACATAACACACATTTTATGTATCAAGTACATTTATATTAAACATGATAAACACTGATCGAATATTCAACGACATTAGAATTATGTATCAATACCTTAAATATGAAAATGATACACTGCATAAAACAAAAGTTATTGTAGCAGTGATGTATTAGATTAATGATAACACTAACAAAGACTAATTTAAGACTCAAAATAAATGAGATACATTAAAAATATGTATCTTTGATAGTAATGGCTGTGCAATGGCAGATCCAACTTTTCCTTCTTTTTTTTGGACGTTTTTCAACAGTAGAAATATTTTTCAAGAAAAATTTTCAACAACGATATGATTAACTAAAATTGCAAAGGTTCAATAAGATTTCAATGGGGACAGGGGGCGGAGGTAATTTTATTTTTATTTTTTAAGATGAAATTTTAAAAAAATAATAATAAAAGAAATCGAAAATTAATGTGATGGAAATAAATCTACCTCTTGAATAATTTGAAATCATTAATTGAAAATAGAAAATATTTGAAATTCAAAAATAGATTAATTGATGTATTTATGTAGAGATTTGTGGCGTGAAAAAAGGAAGGAAAATTATGGATATGAAATTTCAAATTAATGTATCTGGAAAATGGGTTGATGGGAGGAAAAGAAGGAATTTTTGATATTTTTTTAAATGGTAGGGAAAATAAGAAAATAGCATAATAAATGGTGTGTAGTTAAGTAATTTTTCCTATTTTTTAACAGAAAATATTCATTATAAAATGATACTATAAATTTATGGGTATTTTTAATAATTTTCAAAGTTTATGGATATATATATATATATATATATATATATATATATTTTAAGATAATCATATATTTTTTGAAAAATTTAAGATCAAACACATAGTAAAACTTTGCTAATAATTTCACTCAAATATAATTTACCAAGAATATTTCAGAACTTGGTTCCAAACACTAACTAAGAACTTCCTGAGGATTAGATTTTGAGGTCATTATAATTTTAAAAAAATTAATTTTGTATCTTGTTTTATATAAAAAAATTAAGAAATCTTGTTTACGGCAGGCACAAGTGTCGCCGTGTCAGTACTTGTAGCCTGTAGGATATTGTGACTCCTAAATTGGCACTCCTCCGTCACATTTTATGTGCAGTAATTCAATTTGACATAAAGTTTAAGGAAAAAAAGAATGACTTTTAAAATTTATGATTTAAAATGAATTGATAAAAAATTATGTAATTGTAAATCATTTTATTAAAAATAAAATAGATATTTTATAATTAAATTATTATATTTTTTTTTGGCACAGACTATAAAGAGAGAAAAAAGTCATCTTGAGACTACCAAATTACTATTCATTGGTAGACCTAAGTGATAAGAACATAATCCTTTCTAATCTCCCAAGCCTCTCGTCGACCGATCAGATAATGTTCAATTATATACTCATAATCTATTAGTACTTTCTTTTGTTCCGTTCTAAGTGACTTACTTTCTATATTTAGTAATAATATAAATTTAAAATAATATTTATTTTATCATTAATGAAATAATTTCTATTCATACATATATTTATAAAAAAAATTTAAACAATAAATTTCAAATATCTTTTAAATTTTATATCAAAATTAAATTAACTTATATAAATTGTGATTAATAAAATACTAATTTTATGATGTTAAATATATCATAAAATAGTTAAAAAGAATAAGAAAAATTTAACGAATCAAAAATAAATTAAAATGGAGGAGTACAAATAAAGAGGACGTGTTAATTAAGTAGAAGAGGAAGACAGATGCACTTTACAGGAAGAAAGATGCATATCTTTAGACTTTAGCTTATGATATTTTTATTACTTTCGTTCTCGTTAAAATAAATAAATATCCAAAGTATAACTACGAACAACAAACAACCTTTTTTTTTTTTTTTTTTTCTCTTTTCGTACATCACCGCTAAGTACAGTTGACACCCACGAGAGTGCAAATATCCACCGTCTCTGTCACCATTATTTATACTCCCAACGCCACCCCCTCCTTTCCCACTCTCACTTCCCCTGTTTTTCTGTTAACAAAAAATGGAAGGAAAAACCATTTCCCTTTCCTTCCTTTTCCTTTCTCTCTTTGCCATTTATGTCTCTTCCACTTCCCTTCAATACCAAACATTACTCTTACATTCCCTCCCACTAACTCAACTTCAATCCCTAGATTTCGATGCTCAACTACTTTCCGGCCATGGCTCCGACCTGGATCCGGATAATACTCTCTCTCTACAGTTGCATCATGTAGACTTAGTATCTCCTTCATCCTTCAATGCTACACCACATGCTCTGTTTAAGCTCCGTCTTCAACGCGACGCCTATAGAGCTAAGGCAATTTCTGACCTCGCCGCTGCTAACGCCACCGTTGGCCGCCGCGCCGGAAAGCCCCATGCTGGTGGTAGGGATTTCTCTAGTTCTGTTGTTTCTGGACTGTCTCAGGGGAGTGGAGAGTACTTCACGCGAATCGGTGTTGGTACTCCGCCTAAGTATGTTTATATGGTGTTGGATACGGGAAGTGACGTCGTTTGGATCCAGTGTTCGCCTTGTAAGAAATGCTACACTCAATCCGACCCGGTTTTTGACCCGAGCAAATCGTCTTCCTTCCTTGGTGTTGCATGTGGGTCGCCTTTGTGTCGCCGGTTGGATTCTGCTAGCTGTAACCGTAAAAAGTGTCTTTATCAGGTTTCTTACGGAGACGGTTCTTTCACCGTCGGTGATTTTTCAACTGAAACGTTAACTTTCAGGGGGACACGTGTCAACAACGTGGCCCTTGGATGCGGCCACGATAACGAAGGCTTATTCGTTGGAGCCGCCGGTTTACTAGGTCTCGGCCGGGGAAGACTATCATTCCCGATTCAAGCTGGTCGGAGATTCGGCCGGAAATTCTCCTACTGCCTTGTCGACCGGTCCTCTTCCTCTAGACCATCCTATCTAGTCTTCGGCGAATCAGCGGTTTCTAGAACCGCCGTGTTTACCCCACTGGTGAATAACCCAAAACTAGACACGTTTTACTACGTGGAGCTCACCGGAATCAGCGTGGGCGGCGCTAGGGTTCCTGCCATCAGGCCGTCGCTTTTCAAGCTAGACGCCGCCGGTGATGGTGGTGTCATAGTTGATTCAGGAACTTCAGTGACTCGATTGACCCGACCCGCTTACGTAGCACTAAGGGACGCTTTCAGAATGGGTGCTAGAGATCTGAAGAGAGCACCAGATTTCTCATTGTTCGATACGTGCTTCGATCTGTCAGGGAAAACGGAAGTGAAGGTGCCGACTGTGGTTATGCATTTCCGTGGAGCTGACGTGTCATTGCCGGCGTCGAATTACTTGATTCCGGTGGACAGTGATGGGACATTCTGCTTTGCATTTGCAGGTACAATGAGTGGATTGTCGATTATCGGAAACATTCAACAGCAAGGTTTCAGGGTAGTGTTTGATCTTGCTGGTTCTCGTTTAGGCTTTGCTCCTCGTGGCTGTGCTTAAATTTACTACACATCAAAAAATTCCCCAGTTTATTATGTTTGATGATTTCTTTGGATTAGGAGAAGATGATTAGATGTTTGTGTGTTTGTATTATGTGCTAAATTAATGTTGTAATACAGGGTTAAGAGACAAGTATGTCGTGAGAATTAGTGTAGATTTGTGAGTAGTAATTTGTAACTCAAAACACTCTGTTTTGATAGTAGCTGCAAAATGTGCGGCGCTGCTTAAACTTATATATTTTTAATTTGTTTTCTCTATGTTTTGATTTCCTTGGAATTTCTGCAGCGACAATTTCGTCCAATGTCAGTTGGTATATTTTTATGAAAAGACTTCAAATAGGTAAAGAATTGCAGTAACATGAAAAATAACTTCAAAATTTATGGCCTAATGTAATCGTTTGCTATTTTATGGACTAAATTGGAGAGTAGGAGTGACATTTTACGCTACAATTGGTGAGCTAGCTACTCTGGTTGCGCAGTTAATGGCTACATTGATAGTGTGCCATAATGCAAAGTCGTACAGAAACAGGACAACTCAAATAATTGTTTGGCAAAAAGAAATAGTACAACTTTTTTTTTTCCTCACTAAATCACAATACCGTGTGTAATTGAGATTTAATGTTCCAATTTATTTGCGTTACCTGCTTTTATTTCATTTTATATTCTATCACTCCTATTATTTTTTGATACTATCTCACCACCGAGTACAATGAAAGGCGAATGTAGCAATTTCTCACATGACCTGAAATCTGAATTCAAAATTTCTATAATGAAAGTGACTCATGAGATTTAATGGTTTTCAGCTGGAAGGGATGTTGACGACAAATTATATTATGTCTGTTTTGTTGATAAAATAAACAAGTCCCACTGGGTACTATACTGCAATTAAATGGTGTACAGTTAAAACTTAAAAATCTCTGGATCTCCAATTCTTAACGTTATACTAGTAGATTCGAATTAAATTAAGTTAGCTATAAGCGCCTTTTTTTTTCTTCTTTTTCTTGTTGTAGAATACTTTGATATTAAGGGTTGAACTTACAGTTGGTTACCATTTACTTATAGTTAATGATTTGTGAGAGCAATTATGCAGATGTCAATCTTTCCAAGTTCCGAGCAAATTGCGGCACCCGTGCATTGCGGTGGAACACTGTTCTTCCTCTTGGGCCATCTAAACAATTACACAATATGAAAAGTAGGTGCACATATTTTCACTTAGATTTTATCATAAATTGTCAATGTTTATTATTTTTAATACTAATAATTATTACTAAGAACAAATTGGAAAGAATGTACATAAGCATATCTTAATTTTTTAGAAATAATAATTATTTTAGTAAAAATGACCCGGCTCCATCTCAAATATTCTTACTTGTTTACTCTCAGTTTTGATCAATTTTATTTTAGGGAAAAAAGACAAATATATCCTCGAATTATCGTAAATGGTATGTCAATATATAATATACACATATAACATATATAATGTATGACATAATTCATGCATCTAGAAGACCGTTCTATATATAATAATACTACCAAAAAGCAAAGTGTAATCTATATACTTACACATATATAGACTAAATTATTGGTTTTAGAATGTGAGAAGTGTTGCATGTTGCATGTTCCATGTTCCCATTGAAAACAATAACGTTTTTAAAGTAAATCAACAAGTGTCCAAGGGTAAGGACTTAAGGACAATAATATCCGTAAGTTATGGTACACTATTTATCGCCTGACATGAAAATAAAAATCCATCATGTGAAGATAAAATTAGAAAAATAAGTAATCATCAATCTCTTATAAAGAGCCCCCCATGTGGGATTTGACAGACCATGTGCCCAAGTGTACAATATTATTGATTTTTTTTGTCACCAACAATGTAGGTGTCCCAAAAAACATTTATTGCTTGTTTGAGCATTGTAATAAAGACATTCCTAGCTACCTTAAGTACAAATTTACGATAACATGTGGAGGGGTGTGTGTACATGCTCAAGTGTAAGGGTTTCTCCTTTTCTTTAAGTAAGCATTCGGATATGTGTTTTATTTCATAATTTCATATCACGATGAGATGAAATTTCAAATTCTCCAAAAACATAATTAGGAAATTTTAAATTATAATTTGAGATTTTTCAAATATAATAATTAACCCACAAATTGGAGAAATTTTCGCCCGTTTTCCTTGTTTCATACAATTGTTTAGATTTAATAAATGAAACTCATTTTTTTAATCTTTTAAACAACATGGTAAAAGTCTCTTTGAGCGAGTTAAATTTTCCACAAGAAGATATTAGATTATAATATAAGATTCTGTAGATCTTAGTCGATAATATAATGTTTAGTCTGTACAACACGAGTTATACTACATAATTTTCTAAGAATAGGCATAAAATCCAAACGATATTAAAAAATGGGTCATTTGCGTAATTTTTATTATTAGTAAATAGTAACCATGGTTTGATATTGATACTTGAAAAGTTAAAACATAAAATTGACGGAATGATTTGTAGAAATATGATTATTTAGTGGTCAGTATTTATTCATTTTTCCAATTTAAGGAATTTGAGCGAAAATGGCCGTGATATTGAACCACGGAAGAATGAAAAATCATGCTTCAACAAGTTAGGACGAATATGTCATAACTTTAGTATAATATTTATTCTTCTATCATGTTAAATTATTCATAATTTTTCCTAAATTGATTGAACATGTATGCGTTCAATTATGTACAAGTTGTGAGGGGTGTCTCATAACTTTGACACTAGTATATATACTATCTTTATTTTCATATATTGTTAAATTATTTACAAGTCTTGGCGGATTTGCAAAAAATTGCTTCCGTTAAATTTTTTCACAAAATATAATGCGCTCATCATATATTTAGTACAATTTTCATTCTCATATCTTATTAAATTGTTCTCTTTGACACGGACAAAGTGTATAACTATTTGTATAGTTTTGCGTATACATGTAAATATTTGTTGTGCAAACTTTCACAATTGGTTAGGATATGGACTCAATTGGATCTAAGGATAAAGTTTTGGATCTTTACACTACATTGGGCTGTATTGTTTTCAGATCTGAGTTGGGCTTCTATATTACATTGGGAATTTTACATATATATTTTCTTCGTTTTTTTTTAAAATGACATAGTTTGACTTGACACGAAGTTAAATAAAATAAAGAAAACTTTTCAATTTTGTGGTTTTAAATTAAAGTTATGTCAAATGTACCAAAATACTCTTTACATTTGTGGCCTTAAAATGTCACGTAGAAAATTGAAATTAAAATATAGCCAAAAAGGGAAAGTGATCATTCCTTTTAAAACAGATTAAAAAGATAAGAAGGTTATTCTTTTTTAAACGGAGGGAGTACATCATATTTACTATTCATAACTCTACTTTATTCTCTCGCCTCTTCTCTCCGGTTGCCTCTCGCCTATTTCGTTCTAAATTTTTTTTATGTTAGATTTTATTTATGTATTTTGAAAGAGAATTTTTTTGACAAATTTTTGTATTTCTGTCATTTTTTGTTTTAGTTTTTCACCTCAAAACTTTTTGCAGATCTCTGTTGTATTTTTGTATTTCACTTATATTTTCATAACATGAAGGTGAGATTTCTCGGCAATCACTGTATTTTTACACTTTGTCTTGATGATATAATGTATTTTTGTTGTTTGTATGCACATGACTTTTGTTTTTCACCATTAGTGTACCAAGCAAAATTAAGTAAACACATATAACCTATCGTGATTGTATCCATCAAAATTGATATAAGTGATACAAACTGATAACAATTGATACAATAAAGTGAATGAATACATATGAATAATACATGCGCGAATGAATATCTAGATTTTTTTCAAAACTTTTATCATAATTAAAAGATACTAAAAAGTTTCTAATAAAATAACTTACCCATCAATATAATTTAAATAATTTTTCAAAACTTTCATCATAATTAAAAGATACTAAAAAGTTTCTAATAAGATAACTTACCCATCAATATAATTTAAATAATAAAACAAATAATTACGATATTTTAAACTAAATAAAAAATAAATTTTTATCGTGCAGTGTCAAACGACCCTTCATTATGTTTGCACCAAAACTGAGGATTAAATTACACCGTCCGGCTGAGCTTCTTGGTGGTTAAAGTCGGTTAGGGAGGGATTAATTAATTACACGCAAAGACGCAACGAAATCCTCTTCTCCAAGGTAAATGTTTTGACTAATAGGAATAGTAGAATAAGATAAACCTAAATTTTGTTGAATTTTTCATTTACGAATACCAAAATTGGACTCAGAGGAGATAACTCCATGAAATCGGCAACGGCGATGGAGGAGGAAAAAGAGAAAATGGTGGTAGCAGGGTTAATTGATAAAGCCACCAACTCCACCAGACCGGAAGTGGATCCCCGACTTCTCAAATCCATCAAATCAGTGGTCCGTTCCTCTGATTCCGAGCTCAGACTTGCTGCGCAAACCCTAATTTCCCTCATGAAACGTGACCACTCTCAGGTTCGTTGACCCATAATCCTTCTAAAACCCTAATTTAATCTTTTAACACGGATTATTTAGTATTGGTGATTGGTTTTCTTTCTTAACTAGAAAGGATGTTGTAATTTTGTTGATTTTGGGCTTTCCAAAGTTTGTATCTTTGATGCTATGGTAAGTAAGAATCTGCACCTTTTTCTTGTTATGGTAATTAAGCTAGCAGCTTATACCGAGTCTTTTTTTGGTTTGGTATTCAGTTTGGTCAGACACCTATATGTTAGCGATAAATGCAGGATTTTAAGAGAAAAGTGTTTGGTGTAAGTGATAAGTGTAAGATGCAGAGAATGTCTTGTTTTAGAGAAACTTTAATTTGATTTGAAGGACAATTTAGCTACCAGTTTTGAAGGCAACAGGTCTTAATAGAGTAGACTGGATATAGAGAGTTTATTTTTTTTGAAAAAGTTAACTGGTATTATAAACATAGAAGTACACCAATAGTGAACTCCTGTAGTAATTACATCAAAAGTATAAAGGGTTTACCAAAAAGAAACTAAGCACCTATCTCCCTCATAAACTATCTAAGAATAGGGTGATGTCCCCCGGATCCTTGGGAAGATATAGAGAGTTTATATAGCCAAGGCAAACTAGTTTGGATTGAGGTTTAGTTGATTGATTAGGACAAATGCCTAGCTGAATATTTTCAGTTATTGATTCAGCTAAAATTTTATCAGTTCTATTGGTTACCAGAAAAATAAGACATTTTTCACCGCAAATCAATAGAGCAGGA